TTGTTGTTGTTGTTGTTATTGTCATCATATTATCTTAATGAATGACTTTAAGATAAAAAAATGGTCTACCACCTACCAGAGGTATTTTTGACCACAGGATTCCTCTGAAATCTGAATCAACACCAATAAGCATTAGATCTTACAGGTACGCTTTAAAACAAAAAGATGTGATTGAAGGTCCAATCAATGAGATGTTAGAGAAGGACATCATTCAGCACAGTTGTAGCCCTTTTGCCTTTCCTGTAGTGTTGTTGGTGGGAAAGAAAGATGGGTCATGGAGGCTTTGTATGGACTATAGAGAACTGAACAAGCAAACCATCAAAGATAGTTTCCTATTCCTTTGGTGGATGAACTTATGGATGAATTAGCAGGAGCTAAAGTGTTCAGAAAAATTGATCTCAGATCTGGATTCCACCAAATTAGAATGGCTGAAGGAGATATCAATAAGACTGCATGTAAAACAAACTCTGGACATTATGAGTTTTTTGTCATGCCATTTGGACTTACTTTTTCAGAGCTTGATGAATCAAGTATTCAGACCTTTCCTAAGAAAATTTGTTTTGATTTTCTTTGATGATATCTTGGCTTGTAGCAGTTCAATGGAGGTTCATAGAACCCATTCGCAGCAGGTTTTGATATTATGAAAAACAACACATTGAAGGCTAAACTATCCAAGTGTGAGTTTGGTATTGATAAGGCTGAATAATTAGGGCACTTCGCATCTGGAGAAGGAATAGAAACTGATCCCAGAAAGATTTAAGCAATAGAAGATTGGCCTAATCCTACCAATCTTAAAGAGTTAGTTTTTTTTGGGATTAGCAGTGTATCACAGGAAATTTGTGAAGAATTATGCCCCCATTACTAAGCCCTTAACCCAACTGTTGTAGAAGGGAAGTTTTCATTGGAGTTCAGTAGCTACTCAAGCATTGCAAAAGTTGAAGTCTTCTCTCACTACTTTTCCAGTTTTGGGACTGCAAGATTTCACTAAAACATTCAGTGGAAACTGATGCTTCCCTTCATGGGTTTGGAGCTGTCTTTATGCAAGAGCACCATCCTTTGGCCTTCCTAAGTAAATCACTCTGACCTACATGGCAGCAATTATCTGTTTATGAAAAGGAGCTGCTAGCTATAGTCCATGCAGTACAAAAATGGGAAGAATATCTAAGCGGTAAGCCTTTTATTATCCTTACAGATCAAAAAAGTTTGAAGTGGTTATTAGAGCAGAAGTTGTCAACTCCTTTTCAGCAATTTTGGCTATCCAAGCTCATGGGATTCCAATATGAGATACAATACAGGAGTTGGAGAGAAAATACTGTGGCATATGCTCTATTTAGAGTCAAAGGGTCAGAGTTGTTGCTGGCCATGGCCATATCAGGGATACAATGTGATGTGTTAGAGATTATTAAGGAGAGTTATCAGCATGACCACTTAATAGCTATCATAGCTCAATTACATCAAGGGAAGCTAGTAAAAAACTACAACTTACAAGGAGATCTCTTAAGAAACAAGGGAAGATTGGTCTAATGACCAAACTCTGAATTGAGATTGCAGATACTTTAATGGGTACATGACTCGCCTACAGGGGGACATTCAGGTAGAGATGCAACTATTAAAAAAAACCAAATGACTCTTTACCTGAAAAGCCTTGATTGCCATCTGTTTGAGGATGACAAGAGGTTGACAGTAGTAGTTCTGTGCCTTGGACAGTCATCAGGGCCTTCCAAAATTCCCTTAAAAATATTTTGTCTCTGTCACTTACAATGGTTTAAGGCCATCCATGTAACTTGAACTCACTATCCAATTATACTTGGGCTACTTCAGCTGCAGAAAAGGGGTGTTTTAAGGTCTTGAGATGCACATATTTGCTGAACTTGTCAACCACCACAAAGATGACTTCTTTTCCTCCAGATTTTGGTAAGCCTTCTATAAAATACATAGGTATATCCCTCCGAACTTCATTCAGTACTTGTAAGGGTTATAACAACCCCGGATATGGGCTGGTATCATACTTACACCTTTGACAAATCGTGCATTGTCTGATGTAATGCCGAACATCTTTATTCAAGCAGTTCGTATATATCCTAATGAATGGAATGCATCTAAATCTGAAAACAATGATAGCATCATCAAAATGTCATATGATTAACTGTATATTTTTCTTTCATTTTTTAAAATAAAATCTCAAAGTCTATAAAGCTCTATACTTAGCAATCCAAAAGCCTTCATCCCCTTAAGGTACCCTGGATGGAGGGTTTCAGAGAGGAGCACTCTTTCCTTTGGAGGTCTTAATCTATATTTTGATTTAGAAATTATCTAAAACAAATAAAAGGTGTTCAATATGTAATAACTATTATGATCACATATTATGTTAATCTTTCAATTTTTTTTTTAAAAAATTCAAGTTGTATATCAAGATATGGACTTAGTCATCCAATACTCTATATCAGAACAGTGCTTTTTATCATATGAATTTACGTATAATTATGTGTGGAAACGGATTGATTGTTATGCTTGTCGATATCAAATGTATGAAAGAGGGCTTGCTGGGAGACACACTCAGGAAATCCAGTGCTCTGACTTGCAGATGAGAATCCCATACGAAAATCTCCCTTCATGCGACAGGTGCGTAAATGTGGGAATAACTAAAAAAATGTTATACTCCGTATTTTGTAATTTAACTGCTTTGTTTTTGAACCGTGGAACGTACTTGTTTGGCAGGTTGATAGCCATTAGTGTGGATATAAATGCTGCGAGAGCGGAGTTTCTACCGTGGTATGACTATAGTACGACCCTAAATTTGTGGAACTAGCGACCACTGTTATATAGCCACCTGATATATGTATAATAACAGCCAATTCTTTGTTTATTATCGGTTCCTTCATTTGGGCATGTCTAGATACAATGACGTTACATGTAAAACCGAGCTAGAGTGTAAAATTTATTGGAATCTTTTTTTTGGTTATCAGATGCCTTTTTCCTCAAATGGGAACTTTGGTTTAGGTTTTTGGTTCACATCTTGGCATTGTTGCAACGTGTTTTATGTTTTTAATTAATTGCCCATATCTAAATGAGGGAATTGAACATTAAACTAATGTTTTTTCTAATTGCTTCTCTGAACATATATGAAACATACAAAATTAGAAAATCTAAAAAAAAACCTTTTTTGTGTGTTTTATATTATTCAAATTCTAATTCTTATTGTTATAAATTATTATTATTGTTGTTGTTGTTTTTGTTGTCATCATGTTATCTTAATGGATGCCTTTAAAATAAAAAAAAATATTACTCGTATTATTTTTCATAAAAAAACTACTTTTGAATTATTTTTACTACATATTTAGAATATAAAATTAGCATAAATATCAATATGCTAAATACTTAAAAGTTATTATGGTTATGCAGTATTTATCATAAAATAATATATTTGAAATTATATTTTATATAATACAAGATTTTGTTTTAAATATCAGACATGTCACATAATGTAATCAAACCTATTTTTTTAATGATTGAATTTAATTTTCATTGTAATCCTACTTCTGGAATAAAAACATATAACTTTTTTTAATTTTTTTTATGTTTTGCTTCTATTTTAGTCATTTCCTCTAAAGTACTTTGACTTTCATATTTTTATATAAAAATTAGAAAAATGAAAAACAAAATTAATTTTTGAAATAAATAAAAAAGAGAAAAAATTGAGTAATAAGGTATAATTTTTTGTTAGATGTATAAATTGACTTTCAAAGTTTAAATTTTTTGTTAGTTGTATTTTAATTATTGGTGATATTATTTGTTATTTAAATTTCTATTTTACAGTATTTAGGTCATTTTTTTTCAAATGCTACTCTCTTTCGCTTTTCAGATTTTGGCATTTCGAATCAAATAGCAAAGTGAAAAATTATTAACCAAACAATGATTCTGATGATTCAATAAGTAAAATAAACCAAGAGTAAATTCTATAATTAGTCCTTTTTTATGGGTACCTTTCCACAAATAGTCCTTTTTTGATCTTCTATCATGTTGGTGTTAGTTTGAGGGCTAAAAGTGTAATTTCACAGTGATAATATATCTTTTTTGTCATACACAATTCCAAAGGCTATTTCATTTGCGTCGCTTGTGAATTACAGTCGCTTTTTACGACAACTATAGTCTACAAATGTGATCTTTTGTCAGAATCCTAGCCCACAATCATAGTCAATATTTTGTGTTATCCGCTTAACCAATATCAGAACACGTCAGTAGACATAATGTTGAAGGACCACTTGGATAGTATTTGATAATAGAGGACTAAATAGGGAAACCCCCTGTTAGGACCAATTATAAAATTTAGAGTAAATTCTATAATTCGTCCTTTATAACAAGGAGGTTTCTCTATTTAGTCCTCTATTATCAAATATTACTATAGTGGTTCTTCTTTTATAGGCACCTTTCTACAAATAGTTCTTTTTTTGATCTTTTATCATGTTGGTGTTAATTTGAAGGCTAAAAGTGTAATTTCACAATGATAATATATCTTTTTTGTCATACACAATTCCAAAGGCTGTTCCGTTAGCGTCGTTTGTGAATTACAGTCGCTTTTTACGACAACTATAGTCTACAAAAGTGATCTTTCATCAGAATCCTAGCCCACAATCATTGTCATTATTTTTTTTGTTATCCGCTTAACCAATATCAGAATACGTTACTAGACATAATGTTGATATCAAATTATACTTTTAGCCTTTAAATTAACACCAGCACGACAGAAGATCAAAAGAAGGACCATTTGTGGAAAGATACCCTTAAAAAAGGACCACAGGGGTAATATTTGATAATAGAGGACTAAATATGGAAACCTCATGTTATGAAGCACCAATTATAGAATTTACTCTAAAATTTACTCCTAAACATTTCTAAAACTGTTTTACAAAAACAATGGAAATAAACGGAGTCCTCCTTCAATAATACTCCGTACTAGTAAAAAACAGGAGAGAGAGAGGCCTGAGGAGAAAAAGAATGGATGCGGAGAGGCGATGGGGCGATCCTCTTGATGTGAATGATGGTTGTGGAGAGTTGAATGTTCAACTTTCGGATCGTCACGACCGATCGAGGTTAAAGATAGCCTCATCAGGTTATTAATTTAAACCATAAAAATTAAAGACGAGTTATTTTCTAATAGTTCGATCTCGTTAGATCTGATTTCATTCAAAATATTTTTTTCTGTGTAGAATCGAAGGTGAAGCTGTTAGAGGAGAAGACAACCTTTCCAAATGTATCGAGGTTAAAGATAGCTTCATCAGGTTATTAATTGAAACCATCAAATTAAAGACTCAGTCATTTTTTATTAGTTCAATCTCGTTGTATTTGATTTGATTCAACTTTTGTTTGTTGTGTAGATCGAACGGCGAAGCTGTCAGATGAGGAGACAACCTTTCCAAATGTATCCAGGCATCGACAACAATGTCTAAAAAATTCCTTCTTTAACACCTGCTTCCAGTTCATGAGATCATACGTCCACAAACCTTGCGCACCCATTACAGACGAGGAAAATGAGATTGGCAAACAGTATCTTGATACCGAATACCCCATTTATTCCCATGCCTTCAAACATGCGCCTATTGTCTTGGTAGGCCACCAATTGAATGTTTTAGACTTGCTCGGTGATAAACTCTTGTGTTTCTACAGTACTCAAAACATTCCTAATCCTAGCATTCAGCCCAACAACAGATCCAGAAGTTATGCGGTAAGCACCCCCTTAAACCTGATGGGTAAATATGTTATGATTTGTTGCGTGTTTGTTCCTTCGATATGGTCTTCAGCCGATGCGCGCATGATTTATCACACATCTTTAGCATCTCACGAGCTCGCTAGAAGAGGCGATTTTGCGCTGGTGGTGGTGCCAATGATGAGGAATGGTTTCACTCATTCCTTCTCTGCCTATGAACACTTCTTTTCGGGCTTTTCCTGCCTTGCTGTCCCTTTCGGTGAATATCTTCGCCGTGAGTACATTTGCTCGGTACTTGGTTTTGATGGTCAGCCTAAAGCTTTGATTCTTGATCCATCTCAGAGGGTGCTTTACCATGGCCAGCCCAAAATGTTCAGTCAGGTTGGAGGAGCTGAGGGTGGTGCTTTTCCCTTCACTCCGGATAGAGTGGGTGCTTATTTACGCCATGAACGTGGTTGGCATGGTCACTACTCCCTCAATGAGCTTTTGGGCCTTAGAGACACTGATGTTCTCTACAACATTGGATATTATCATGCTGGCGGTGATCGAATGGAGGATGAGGAGGATGGTCGTCGTGGTAT